GGGGGGGGGGGGGGGGTGGGGTTGTGACTAATTCTTTTAATCTTATTTGATGGTTTGTCATTTAGGTTGTTTTCTCCTTCTTGCATTTGTTCTCTGGATGTTTATTGAGTTTACATGTATCCCAAGAGGGGAAAATAACACGAGCTTGCTCCATGGCTAGCATGGGTTGAACAATCCTCCACAGAGATAAATGTTTTGGGACAAATACATAAATCAGGTCAACTTTAGGATGTTTCTTAACTTTTATCATTCTGCATATGCTGTATAAATCTCTTTAGGTTCATCTACGGATTCTGCATTTGTCTGATCTTGATGAGCGCAAACACATTTCAGGGATCATGCCGGAGGGAATGATAAAATGAAGCAGCTTGTTCCTGGAATAAAAATTTATGATGGATCGGTTGATAATGTGAGGGGTTGTACTGATAAAGTTGAAAATGGTGACAAGATATCCCTTGGTGCTGACATCAGCATATTATCTCTTCACACTCCAAGGTAAGTGATATTAAGTTTGCTCGCTTCCTTTCGTTACTCATTCTTAATTCGATGTTCTTAATACTGATTTTTTGTCAAGGACTCGGCTGCTTTCCTTATTTGGATACTCTTGTTTGATGACCCCGCTTCCTGATACTAATGGAAAAAAGCTATACTCATTTTGGAAATATCTCTTGAATGAGTCGCAGTAGACTCAAAGGATATTATGAAGCATACCGTTATAATCTCTGATACGTTGGAACATATAGAAAATTGTATCTCATCTCGTTCTCCTACAAGGTCGTTTCGCAAAATTAATTGCTTTTCCCCTCCTTTCAGTCACACAAAAGGTCATATAAGCTACTATGTTACTGGCAAAGAGGGAGAGGATCCTGCTGTTTTTACTGGGGATACATTGGTGAGTGGAGATCTCGACCTCCTTTACAAAATCTTTTAGGAGTAAGTGGAACTTAATTTAATAGTTGGTTCCCGTACAGTCTGTGTTTTGCTTTGTGTCAACTATTGTGCCTCTACTTTAAGAATTTGTTCGAATCATATTTCCTTATGCAGCAAGCGCACACTTTGTCTTCAGTGTTTCCAGATTTAGGTCATTCATGGTGCACCTTTCTTCATTTTCACCTGTACGATTGCTTTCATAATTCTGTTGCTGCCATTTGTTTATTAGTTTGTTATTTTCTTCATGTTCGGGAAGGTGCTCCTTCCTCATGAACATTATTGAGGAAACAGATTGGTGCAGTGTTCAGTTGACAAGAGTTCCTATTCAAAGAAAAAATGAAAACAGGAGTATGGAGAGGAAGGTACTTGAGATTCTATGAGAGTAAAGCAGAGCCGTTGCAAAAGAATAGGTCAACTGCCTTGGGTTACTTTCCTTTTGGTGTAGAAATGAATATATAGAGAGTGCTAACAATCTCATATTTAGTTAGCTCCCTGCAGGATTCAATGGGAATTTGTATCTGTATTTGTTATACATACTGCAACACCAACTTAGTGCAGCCGACTTAATGAAATTATTATCTTTTATTGATTAAACACAAGGGAATGGAAGGAGAAAACTTTTCGGGAGCCTAAAACAGTGGAGAATTTTCAGAAAAACGTTTAATATATGGAGTCAACTTAAAGGCTTCTAGGTGTTTTCCAAATAAATTAAAATCATAGGAGCGGCTGTTGATTAATGAATGAGGTCCTCAATTACTGACAGATTATTCGGGCTACTGAAGAAAACACTTTTGCGCTATCGTCAATCTTCCTATCTTGCTTCAGTTTCAATCTTCACTCTCTCTTTTCTCAGCCATCTCTGTAACGCACAGCACAAATTTTTTTGGGACATCACAGACTTGCAATCACAACAAATCCATCTTCTGCTTCTCTCTCCTTTCTGGTAAATTTCTCATGTAGGTATTATGGTAGATAGCACAAGAATATTTTGATTCAAACTCCTTTTGCTCAATAAGTTGTTCACCATAACGCTAAGTTGCTCGGACTCGGGTACGGGTGCAGGTTTAGAGGTTGGATCCTTCATGATCTAAATTTAAGATTCGGGGGTACGGATCCAGGTATATGGGTGGGGGGATTCTGCTAAAAGTATTTGAATTTCTAAAAATAGAGTTAATAAAAATATGTCTAAATTATGAGACACTATGAGAAAAACTTATAAGGTAGTCTGAGAAGGAGAAAATATTATTCAAGAGGAGAATTCAAGGAGATAAAAGGAAAACGACTAACATAGAGATTTCTATATACAAGGTATTCTATTTTCTTCAATTTCACCCTAGCATTTGTTTTAATTTCAGAAACTATTGTATCTGTATACCCAAAATCGGTTGACCAGATCCGGTAAGGAACCGACGTCGTGTCGATACGGATGCGGCACTGAAAGTAAAGAGTCCGAGCAACTTAGCTGTAACGTAGTCCAAAATTTGGAAGGGTGGCGGTAGATTGGACCACTTTTGGTTTATCTGTCTACTCTTTCCAGTTGGCTTTGCTCTTTCTTGGAAATTCTCTTCATGGATTTGAAATGGTTTTATTTTTGGGAGAAGTGATGGGAACTCTAACCACCCTATTCAAGTTCTGTTAAAAGTGGAATAAAGCAACAAATCAGTATGTGAAACCAGAAGATTGTGTGACAACGCGAGTAGGAGGAGTTCCTCTGAACTGACAGTCTTCTTTAAATATTTTGTGACTATACTGTTGGATGATCAAAATAATTTTGTTTTAACATTATTCATCTTTTTGGCTTGCAGTTTATTGCTGGTTGTGGTAAGTTTTTTGAAGGCACTGCAGAACAAATGTATCAGTCACTGTGTGTGACACTAGGTTCTTTGCCAAAGCCAACTCGGGTGTATTGTGGCCATGAGGTAACGTATGCATGCTCTTATAAATTTTTGAAAGAAAAGAATTACTCTTGTATCACATATATTGTTCTCAGGATGGATTCTAGATTTTGAGCATCAACAGTTAACTCTCTAATGTACCACATTTGAACAATTTTTTAATAGGACTTTTAAAGAGAGTTTAGAACACTTGAGGAAAAAGTGGAAAATAAGCAGAACAAATCATCAAGTTACCCTTTCTTTGTCCATGTCTTAAGGACTAGAGCAACTTTAGCCCCTCAGTTCTAGGTGTAGCACAGAGATATTATTTCCTTTAAAATTTTCCCACGCCTTCAGAGTGTGATGAGCACTTCAGTTGAAAGGAAGGACAAATAAAAAAGTTAAATAGCATCCACCTTTCATATAGGCACATGCAAATATCTCCCTTTAACATGTCTTTTTCCTGCTGTCTAAGATTTCTGTCACAAAAAGATGTCATCAACTGTAATACACAGCTGCATATGGCCTCCAGTTCAAAAAAAAAAAATATATACTTTTGATTCCAATACCTAATTGATATTTGCATATGCATGACGCTCTTGGCGGTTACTCTACATCAGATCCCTTTTCGCGAGTGATTCGTCCTTCCCGAACTCAGCATTTCTATGACTTGCGGGCTCTCTGTCTGTTTTTTTTTGGTCACTGAGATTGTGATTGTTTGAACTTTGGGAGAATATTGCCCCCCCCCTCCCCCCA